CGGTGAAAACTTGGGTAAGAGGGGAAGGCAGGGAGCACAGCAGGCTGGTGGGCCATGCTCACGCCCCAGCTCCGCCCAGCACCAGCTGGGACCTGGGCCCTTAAGTCACCTGAGGCCAGGTGTTTCTTGTCTGAGAAAGCGGATCTGGACCCCTACTCACCTGCTGCCCAATATTGGGGAACCGGCAAGGAAAAAAGAGAAATTACAATTTTTTCTCTAGTAGGAGAAGAGACAGTAAATACTTGGTATCTAAGAAGCTAATAAGGCTACGGTGGGGGCGGGGGATGGGGAGCACCAGGTAAGGGATAACTGGCAATTGCTGGGGAAGGCTTGGGGAGGGGGAAAGCGACGTAAAAAGGGTTGACCAGTGTGAGCCTCGCCACGTGAAGTGAGGCAGGGAGCCGAGCGGCATCTGGCAGGAAAATAGTGCACGCGCAGGGAATGATAGCTCGTGCAAGGGCTGCAGAGCAGGGGCCTGGCCTGCGAGCTGGGGGCCAGGAGAGCAGTGTGGCGGGAGCAGAGTGAGTAAGGGGGAAAGGGGAGCAGGAAAGATCAGAGAACTAGGGATGTGGGTGGCTGTAGAGGCCTCACAGGTTACTCTGAGCATGAAACGGGAGCTGGAGCGCCCCCACGCCAACCTACCCCCAGCAGGAGCCAGGGTCCCAAGCCAGAGATGATCGCCAGGTGAGGGCCGGAGGGGCTGAAATTTCTCCAGGCAGAACCTGGGGTGGGGCAAGCAGCAACCCACCCCATCCCAACCCCTCCAGGGCCTGCTGGAGGCCTCACTTGCTGTCCCCGGCCCCTTGTTGGGCCAGCGCTGGGCCCAGAAGCAGGTGGGTGTTGGCACTGAGGCCCGGCCTGGCACAATCCCTCACCCCTGTGTGGGGGGAGAGCCAGCCCCCTCAGGCTGTCAGCTGCAGGGGAACGGGAGGTTCCTCTGGGTGATTTTCCAGTTTACCCCCCATAGCTCTGGACTCTGGAAAGAGGCCTTGCGGGGATTTTATTTTCCCACTACTGCAAACGGTGTTGAAAAAAACGCTTAGGCTTCCAGGGGAAAAATGTTTATTTAAAACAGCACCACTTAGGGACGCCTGGGTGGCTCAGTCGTTAAGCGTCTGCCTTCGGCTCAGGTCATGATCCCGGGGTCCTGGGATCGAGCCCCGCATCGGGCTCCCTGCTCCTCGGCAAGCCTGCTTCTCCCTCTCCCACTCCCCCTGCTTGTGTTCCCTCTCTCGCTGTCTCTCTCTGTCAATTAAATAAATAAATAAAATCTTAAAAAAAAAAACCAGCACCACTTAAACCCCAGGGCTTTGCTTTCATTATTTCTGATAAGCCTGAATTGCCAGCAGGTCCTGTTTGCCCTGAGCTGATGGTTTAGTGTGGGGGACAAGAGAGTTCTAGTTTCTGTCTCTCCTCTGACTGAGAGCCAGTCACCCCTCTCCAAACCTCAGCTTTTAAATCTGTGTATTGGGATTGCTGGAGAATCTTGCTTGCAGGGTTCTAGTAAGGATTAACACATGTTCGTAAAGCCGAAGTCACTGCAAGTTCAGCTCAAATAGGGTAACCTGAGGCCCCTTTCCTTTTCCCCATGGAAGCTTTTTCTTTTTTTTTAAAGATTTTATTTATTATTTGACAGAGAGAGACACAGTGAGAGAGGGAACACAAGCAGGGGGAGTGGGAGAGGGAGAAGCAGGCTTCCCGCGGAGCAGGGAGCCCGATGCGGGGCTCGATCCCAGGACCCTGAGATCATGACCTGAGCCAAAGGCAGACGCTTAATGACTGAGCCACCCAGGCGCACCGCCCATGCGAAGCTCTTTTATAAACGAGGGCTAACTTCCCTGGCGAAGCCTCTGGTGCCCAGTAACCCTCCACATACCGAGGCTCTAGCGATCACAGACCTAAAGCCGCGCTGACAGCCGCGTCCAACACTGTTTCTAGAGCTTGAATTGGGCCCCGCCCCCTCTGGGGCGCTTTGGGTCCCTGAACCAAGGGCCATCCGAGGTACACGGGGAAGGCAGGCCCTGATGAGACCCAGGGCTCTCCACTCCGCCTTCTAACAGGTGCTGTTCACATCACTGGGCACTGAGCAGAGCCCTGGACAGAACACAGTGCCTGGCTTCACCAGAAACCGCGCTCGACGGCTTCTCTCAGATCCGCAGAGAACAAGGGGCATCCACAGACTCATTCATCTGGGGTTGCGGGGGGCCTCGAGTGCTCTGCAGCGTTGCCATCCATCACTTCTGACAGGTTATGACCTCTTGGAGCCTTAGTTTAGCTCTAAAATAGGGCCAGTACCTTCTCTGTGACACCCCGATGAGATAATGCCTCAGTGTACCGTGTCTGGAAGGTGTCTTCACATTCGTGGCAGCCTAGAAAAGCCAAGTGCCTGGCAGAACCCACGAGGCCTGGGTACCGGGAAGAAGCACGCTGGGTCCGTAAGGGGGTGATCCAGGAACACCCGACGGAGGACTGACCCCAGCTCCCACAGGGTCTAACTGTGGGTGGGGTGCTCCTTCCGGCAGGCACAGTTCGGCAAAGGCAGAGTCGGAAAGCCCAAGGCAAGCCCAGGGAAGCCAGGGGGAGATGGGAGCCCGTGTTCCAAAGCCACTTGAAAATGGCGTGGCGATTACCTACGTCCTCACGGCCTCTATTAGAACAGTCTACAAACTTTCCCTAGCTCCTGAATGCTCGATTCGCTCTCAGTTTTGGCCAAGGCAGCCAAGGGCCACAGAGAGGAAAAGCTAGGGGGAGGGTGCAGAACCTCAGCCCCGGGGCAGGACGGTGCTCCCTGGTGGGAGGCTGGCGTCGGTCACCCATCGTGCTGGTGAGCCTGCGCAGGAAGCTCAGTACCAGCAGAGACCGGAGCCACATGCTCCCAGGTCAGGGGCTCGGGTCACTCCTTGGGAGGCGGAGCCTGTTGGGGGCACGCGGGGCTGTGAGGCTTGTCTTACAGGGACACGCTGGCCCGCTTCTGCACAGGCTGAGTATCTGGAGGGGACTCAGCTCCCTCGGGTCCACCATCGTCAGCAGGTGTGCTGACAGGAAGCCAGGGCTCCCAGCTCTAGCCTGTACACACCTGCAATCCAGCACCTTCCCTCTCCCGACCTCAGCTTCGTGGTCTTTAAGAGAGGTCACCTGATACCCTAGCTCTAGGATTCCTCCAGCTCTAGGGTCCACGCCTAAGGCTTGCTTTTTGCTAGAAACCAAGTTCACCAGATATAGGTTTCATCTGACTGGCTGTGCTGGGCAAAGGCCACAAAGTGGGGAGGCCCAGAACAAAGCTGCCCCTGGGAAATCCTACATCTTAAAGGCGGGGGGTACCTTTGCCCCTCAGTGCAGAGCCAAATATGGCAGCAGAGGCCAGAGCCTCTCAAAGGTTGAGGCATTATTTTTATTTAAAGTAATTTCTGAGGGGCGCCTGGGTGGCTCAGTCGGTTAAACATCTGCCCTCGGCTCAGGTCATGATCCCAGGGTCCTGGGCTCGAGCCCCACATCTGGCTCCTTGCTCATGGGGAGCCTCCTTCTCCATCTTCCTCTCCCCCTGGCTATGCTCTCTCTCTCTTTCTCTCAAATAAATAAATAAAAACTTAAAATAAATTCTGAGACTGCAGATGTATCCTTTAGCTCAGCACACCTTCAGCCCAGCCCAGCAAGAAGGAAAAGCCACTAGTTACCAAGAACCAGCCCAGAAGGCTCTAAGAGAGCCCTCGCTTGGCATTGTCCAGGATCTCAGCAGCACACAGAGGCCTCCCTCCTCTTAGGTCCCTTCCGGCCCAGAGGCCTGGGCAGTGTGCCTTCCCACCCCAGAGTGAGTGCCTTGAGCCCAGAGCCCCTCACCGCTCCTACTGACTGAGCTCTCACATCAAGTATTGAAGGTTCCTCTTTGCCCAGAACCCCTGTGGCTTCCCAGAAGCTGTTGTCTCTCCCTCTGAGACCCAATTCCAATTGAAGCCTCTTTTCAATAAAACTAAGCCTCTTTCCAAGTAATAATAGGCATTCTCACTGGGAAAGATCTATGTACCACAAACCGTATCTGTCTTCCAATTTCTCTTTGAAAACACGTATTTTCTATCTTCCTTGTGAAAAACGACTGCCTGCAAAGCTCCCCATCTGGCACCTCACTTGAGCAGGCTGTCAGCGTGACCCAGTCCCTGAAGTACACGGCAAGCAGCTGTGGCCAGAACTGGCTGTCGACGAAGACACACCACCCAAAGGCCTTGCCCTCTTCCTGTTCCCACTCCCAGCAGCCAGAGCCTTCACAGCTGCTCTCACCATGGCCCTTTCTTCCAGAACCACACACTCACTCTGACACGCCTGGACAAACGAGCACATTGCCCAGGGCCCTCAAGGGCTGGGTTCAAGCACCAAGAGTGGGACCCCTCTCCCGGCCCCCTGAACAACTCTCCACCATCCACCATTCAAGGATACGAAAGCCACTCATTGGTTCTCATATTACTTCGCACACTCACTCGCTCGTGCACGCTGAGTGCCTCCCAGCAACGGCGGCCCCTGCTGCATCCCACGCCCTTCCCGCAGAGACACGCCACCGTCGACCTCCCTGCTCTTTACGCCCGCCGCTGGTTCCCCACAGGCAGCGCTGGAATCATGCTCCTCTGGGAAGCTTCCTCCTTGCCTGGTGGAGCTGCGCCCCGCACTAGGTCTCCCGGGGCTACTCAGGACAGGCTCTTATTAGCAGGTTACACTCAAAACCCAGCTGCAGAGGAGGAGGAAGGGGGCTGCTGAGGGGATGGGCCACGGGGCTGATGCAAGGGCCTTGGGGTGAGGGAACGAAGTGTAGGACACCCAGGATGACAGAATAAATGAAAGGAGGGGCTTCCCGCTCTCTGGAGCTGCTCTGTCACCTCCACACAAAGCTCACTCTCAGTGTGAAGGAGTGTTTCTGATGCGTCAAAACGCCGTCAGAGTGAGACTAGCCCGAAAGCTCATTCTTTCTCAGTCAGAAGCTCCGCTGGAGGTAACAAAAGCAGCCCACGCTCTGGTTCCTGAATTGGCTTTATTTCTCTGCATAAGGAACCCTGCACAGGCAATTCAAATTAAAACAAAATAAATATATGAATATTCATGTAAAACTGTCCTTTCTAATGAACAATTATACACAATGTACAATTTCATGTTCACTGGGTGGATTTACAAAAATGTACCATTCCCAACTAAAAATGCACCAAAATGGTTCCATGCAAACTTATCAAAAGTGACCAAAAATGTGGAGGGAAAAACCTGACTGAGAGCACTTCGTCTTTTTTTTTGTACAATCACAGAAAAATAAAAACATCTAATTTCTTTGTTACATTTAGAGTAACTAAATGTGGCCACTGTTTATAATGTCGGTTTATGTTCCTAAACATCTATGTAGTTACCATCAAAGTGTGTCCACATGAAATTGGAAGTGAGCGTTACTGAGAAAAGGGGCGGCGGCCCCGCGCACGGTCAGTAGTCGGTGTCCGAGCCCTCGGCGTTGTCCACGTTCCGCGAGAGCATGTAGTTGTCCATGTCGATGGAGCGACAGTTGTTGATGGCGTAGCGCAGGCGCTCGGCCATGACCAGCTGGCTTGAGTATGGGGGCAGCCGCAGCTGGAAGAAGCAGGTCTGTGAGGTAGGCAGACTGTCGTAAGGCTGTGGAGAGAGAGACCCGGAGCTGTGACTGCAGCATCGGGATGTCCCGGGGGGGCGGGGCAGGGAACCCGGTACCACCCCCCCCCAAATCAGGAAAGCACTTCTCCCAGCCTTCCAGATGGGCTCCACAGACGGGAGTGCAGGGCCGACTCGAGGGGAAGGAGACCCCGGGCTGTGGTGGAAGGAACGTGGGCTCTGGGGTCTTCTGGCAAATATGCTTCCTTGCTCTCCTCACCGCCCACCTTGGCCCGGTGTGCAAAGCGCGAGCAAGTTCTGCCCGGCAGGACTACGTGGGAGAACAGGCTTTGCACCCGGCCTGCCACGGAGGGGCCGCCAACAGAGCCCGCTCCCTTCCACCGGGAGGGTGCAGACCCGGAGCTGGGGCACGGAGCCCCCAAGAGCCGGCGAAACGGAAAGAACACCTGGGACGGGGCCCCCGCACGCCTCCACCCTTCCCCGTCCCTCCTCGCGTCCCTCCCCACGGACCTTCTGCTGCCTCGGCTGCCGTGGCTGCCGGCACACAGCTCACATGAGGAAGGAGCAGTGAACTAAATCCTAGTCCGTCCATTAAATGGACAGTGACACAGTCACTTAAAATGATAATCATGATGGCTGGCAGCAGAAAAGTGCTCAGGACAGACTGAGCCAAACACAGCACACAAACACCACAGGCATGCCACGGAGGTGGGAGGTGGGGGGGCTGCTACGGCAGCGGGGGGCGTATGTTCCCTGGCCCTCCCTGCAAACGGCGCCGTCTTCCACACTCTCTGTAATGACAGTAACGATAGTACGTTTTTACATTTTAAAATAAAGGGACTTGCCCTTTCTTTCTTGCTCAACTCCCTGAAACCCTCCCCCTCCTCCTCGGAGCCCTACACCTGGCGAGTGCCATTTCAAAGAGGTGGGAGCAGGAGGGCCTGGAGGGCCTAGAAGCCTAACAGGGCTCGAGCCAGTGAGGACACGGAAAACTCAAATGTGGGAACAGCACAACTAGCAAAGACACTGAAGGGCCATGTCAACAGGTGCCTCTGATTTGGAAGGTAGAGCAAGGGTCTAAAAGTCACACAGGAGGGACCCACCGTGGTCAGTTTTCTGAGGCTCAAAAGCCTCCGGCAGGGGATTAGTGGTGGATTAACTCCTGGGATGGCAGGGGTAGCCTGGGACAGACAGAAGGCAAGGGTTTTTTCCAGAGCTGAATAGAATCAAACTGTTGCCTCCACCCACCTCTCTCTGAAGCAACAAAACAGATTTACAACTTATAGTTTCTGGCAAGTCATGTAGAAAATTTATGGAAAGGCTCTTTTCATAGCCCTTCCTGTGCGTGGCCTCTCCAGCAAGCCTAGCCCAGGAGTAGAGCCCAGGCGGGCAGCTTCAGGAGGCAGCGGGGGAGGGATGGCTCTGGCTACAGCAACCTCCAGGAATAGTTACTGGAAAAACACCAGAAACGCAGATGCTGAGACTGGCAGGAAGAGTCCTTGTGTGAAGAGGCCCTACTTTCCTTACCGTTTCTAGAATAAACACCACAGGCCCTGCTCGGAGGACTTCCCAGCTCTTGGGCGGTTGGGGAAGGAAAGAGAGAAGGAGAACACAAACACTTCTAACTTAACGCTGGGTTCAAGGAATGTACCAAGTGTCCTGGAGGTGGACAGAAGGAGATCTAAGTCTGCCCTCGGGAATGGTCAGGGGCAGCAGGAAAGCATCCAAGAGGGCTTCCTGGAGGAGATGACACTGGTGTTGGGCCTAAAGGATGAGTAAGTACTTGCCAGGCATAGATGAAAAGGGGTGTGAAGGAGAACTTACTAAAGCAGAGGGACCAGCCTACACAAAGGCACAGAAGTTTAGAAACAGCATGGTGTGTTGGGGAAAAAGAGGCAAGCGGTCTGCTCTGGCCAGAACACAGTATGTGTTAAGAGGGGCCATCGGAAAGCTGGGGCAGAGACCAGACTGGAGATATTTAAGGCCACTGAAGCAGTCAGCACTCATTCTGGAGTCAACACAGGGGGCCCCTCCCAGTCTGAAAGGAGAGTAACGTGGTCAGATGGGTGCATGAGAAAGAGGTGTCCGGCAGCAGTGTGCGCTGCAGCTTCTAAGCCCTTTTCTTCCTCGGCCGTCCGGCACCACGGCAGCTGCGCTGGGGCTCTGCAGCTGGGCCTTTTCACCTACCAGGCCGCAGAGAGGCGGCCTGCCTGCTCCACGACACACACGGCACGAGCGGCCGCGGGGCACACGCACCAGGGGACAGTCAGTATCTTCGTGAAAACACACAAGACCACGTCCCAGTGCACAAGTCACACGACGAAAAGGCACAGGAAATAAGAGGCAGAGGCAGCATGACGAGCCCTCTGCCAAGCTGAGCTTTCACTCAGGAAGGTACTGGGGGATTTATCAAAGGTTGCTGGTTGCAGTGTGCTTTCTACATCCAGTTAGGGCTTTTTTTCACTCAAGTTAGGTTTCTGAACAAGTTTTTCTGCTTGATTTTTTTTAGGTCTGGAAATCCCAAACATTAAGCCTGAACTGGCAGGCCCACTCGAGGGTCACAGTGTGGCTTTCCCAACAGGCAAGCGGCCAGGAAGCAGCGGGGCAGACATGACGAGGAAGGCCGAGTAGCTTACTTACCCTATCAACCTTCATGATTTGAAATCTCTGAGAAATGTCAGCAGTGTTGGCCGGGAGTCGAGATCTTCCAGACACAAACCTCATGAAAAGCACGCGCTCCTCATTGGAGAACTCCTCCAGCGTGTGCCAGAACCACTGTACCAGCTGGTGCTGCTCATCAACCTCCCGGTACCGCACCACTTTCTTCAGGACTTCCACGGAGATCTCGGGCATCCCACACACCATCTGCTCCAGCTGCTTGGCCGTCAGGAGCGACAGCAGTGGCACAGGAACGATCCAGGACATCCCTTCTCGGACGGCAGCTACCTGCTCCCAGGAGAGGTCGCGCATCAGACACGTGTCTGCAGACTGGGCGCCTCCCACCTGCTCATCCGGTCCCCAAACCCTCTACTTGTCCCCCAGAACTCCAAGCGCACATGGCCCACTCCCCTGGCCGCTGACCCTTTGTCCGAGCTTCTCCCTGCCTGTGGGACTTGTACACTCCTTCCGGTCCCAGGTCAAGTCAATTGAGAAGCCTGACCTCTGCCCCCACAAAACTCAGCCCACCCCCCACCCCCCGGTGTCACCCACACTCACTCATATCCCTAAGCACGTGTGGCTGCGCACTGTCACACTGGGCTCTGTGGGCTACTCGGGCTCGTCGGCAGGGTAAGAAGCCCCTAGAGGACGTGTCTAGCTTCTACTGTTTTTGTCATTCATATTTTTCTTTTGAAAAGAGTTATATCCTTTTGGTAAAACTTATTTGTGCTCATTGTAAAAAAAAAAAAGTTAGAAAAGTACAAAGAAGAAAGTAAAACTAGCAAGGCCTCCTGTAGGAAGGCAGTAGGAAGGACAGAGCATTTAATGGGGACACTTGGGATCTGAATCCCAGCTCCACCTCTTCTTTTACTTTAATTTTCTCATCTGAGAAACGAGGCAAGTACCTGCTGCTCACACGACTACGATGAGAATTTTCCATGTAAGTAGCTGTGACGTGCTGCGTCCTTCTAACCCAGTGCTGAGAACAGGTCTGCTGGGGGTGCTGAGGGGAAGCTGCCAGAGGCTACCCACAGTCTGCTTCAGAAACACCCCAAGGTTGCACAGCAATGCACACCCTACACACAGACTCATTGCTGTTCAGGACTTGCTCATAAATACTTCTTCGCTCTTGGCCAACTTCAGAACCATCAATGATAAAAAGCAAAAGGAAAAAGCCCGGGGCGCCTGGGTGGCTCAGTTGGTTAAGCGACTGCCTTCGGCTCAGGTCATGATCCTGGAGTCCCGGGATCGAGTCCCATATCGGGCTCCTTGCTCAGCAGGGGGTCTGCTTCTCCCTCTGACCCTCCTCCCTCTCATGCTCTCTCTCTCTCATTCTCTCTCTCAAATAAATCAATAAAATCTTTTAAAAAAAAAAAGGAAAAAGCCCGAAGACCCAAGCAGGAGCCACACCATGGGGAAGGCCCTGGGGCTGTGACTGGTACCAGGGTGTCCTGCCGGGGCCAGGAAACAGGACTGGCCGTGAGGGCAGTCTGGATGGGCATTAAAGGGAAGACCCCAGCACAAGCTGTCATGCCTGACAGAATACAAAGCAAAAGCTGTCTGGAAAAAAATGAGGCTGAGGTATGGGGCCAGCTGCCTGGCTGGGAACAAATGGGGACAGCTATGGGAAGAACACTGGGTTCCAAGAGGAAGAAGTCCTCACTCCTGAGAAAGGAACAAAGCCACGGCAGAGCTGAGCTGGCAGAGAGTGGGGGGCCAATCTGACCTGAAGAGCCTAGACCCCACAGTTCAACCTGGTTTGGGACCCTAGCTTTGCCTCGGGCACTTCACGTCATTTCTCCGACTCAGTGCTTTCACCTGTGAGATGGTGATGGCAATCCTTCCGTCACAGAGTAACTGAAGGAACAACTGCACATGAGGCAGCCTGGCCCCACACCTGGCACGCAGGAGACAGTCAATGTATTTTTAGTCAGTTATTTACCCTGAGGATTAAAATTCTGAACAACTGGAGACAAACCCTAAGCCCTGGCTGTGTAAACAGCATTGCCCACAGGACCTGCCCTCACTAAGGGATAACAGTTTTCTGACTGGACTCGGGCCAAAGCCAGAGTCAAAGAAGGAACCAGGAGGGAAGGCCCAGAATATCTATACTTCAAATTACTACATAGCCTTTGAGCCTCAGTCTAGCTCTCAAGAAGACCCTAGCGTATTCTGCATATAAAGTATTACTAAAGTGGCTATTAAGGACTGTATAACCAAAAAACCATTTTTGGACAAAATGCTCATTTCTTGGGGGGGATGTTCATTTCTTTGGTCACTCATCACATTCTCATCATTTATTATTAAATGCCTACTACATGTCAGCACAGAACAAGGATATTTAAGAGATACATAAACACACACACACACACATATATATACATAATATAATGCAATAATTGAAGAAACAAGATCCAAACTCTGTGACCTAGTTCTTAGACCACAACAAAGAAGTACTGTGGTATCTTGAGAAATTTCTAAGTAACAAAAAAGATTTCTACAGGCTACGAACCTGGAGGAAAGCTGGTCTGTGGAGGAGAGGTATTTTCAGCTGGGTCCTGAAGGGACTTCAGCAGGAGGGGGAAAGAAGCACTCATGTGGGATTGCAAGACCAGTGTTTAGGGGTTTATTTGCATGGGCCTTGACTGACCCAACTCGAGTGGGGACCCTGAGTTGGGGACATTAAGAGATGAAGACAAACAAAACGGAGGATGAGTGAGAAGGCAGGGTCTAAAGGCCTGGTTGAGAGCCTGGCCTCAGTCCAACCAGTGACCAATTCAGAGCTGTCCTAAGGCCTTGAGTAAGGAGACAGGAAACCCAGAGGTAAGGCCTGAAAAGTCTCTGAACAGGGGCTGAAAGACAGATACAAACTAACTGACATGGTAGTTCATATACCCAAATTCAGCAGTAACCAGTTAGCTCTTGTTTGAAGACAACTGCAAACATTCGCATACATGTCACATTTCAGCTCACCTGTCGGTCCATCTCATGAAGTCGATATTCAATGGCCCTCTCCACATACTCCTTCCTGTTGGAAAATGTCAGTGGGATACTATTTCCACCTGGAATTATGGGAACCATTTTGCCATCAGCGCTCTGGCCAACAAAAGAATCAAGAGGAATCATCTAAGAAGAAAAAAGAAAAATTTTTTTACTAAAAAAAAGTATGTTACACACAAATATAGCAAAACAGTAACAACATTAAGAATTTTAGGGATAGGGTGGCGCAGCCGGTTAAGCATCTGACTCTTGGTTTTAGCTCTGGTCCTGATCTCAGGGTTAAGGGATCGAGCCCAGCATCAGGCTCCACACTCAGTACAGAATCTGCTTGGGATTCTCTCTCTCCCTCCACTCCTCCCACTCGTGCCTGCTCTCTCTCTCCCTCTCTCATATAAATAAATCTTAACGATAAAAACGAGGAATCGAGGTAGCTAACCACGCCACTTGGTCAGAAGGAAATGTGCTGACTCATCTGGCTGTAGTTAACAATTTCTTTGTCCTCAAACCAGGTTTGCTGAACTCTGGTCACCCCAGGCCTCCTCTCCAACTGGGTTCCCTTGCTTGTCCATTCTAGCAGGCAGAGAGTGGACCGAAGAGGAAGGAGCAGAAGAAGCTGGGTGCTGGTGCCAATTCTACCCATGAGCATCTTTTTAAACCTCTGGGGCTGAGCTGCTAGTCAGCAATGGGACATGCCATCAGTAATCAGACAGCAAGGGGAAGACCAGATCTGAGTTTTCCACAGAAAAATTCTAGTCAATACCAACAGAACATGGACTGGCCAAGATTTACCTCATGGAAACTTTCCTCGGTAATCCCACTGTCTTCAATGTGAAGAATGCTGTTGAGGGTCTGCACATAGAGCAGATCCACCTCCTCCAGGTCTTCCAGGCTGAGTGGGACACAGCACAGCTGCTTCCACACCAGAGGGGCCAGGTGGAGGTCCAGAGGCTTCTTTGTGCGAATGGCAACCCCCATTAAAATTCCCAAGAACTTAAACTGCATTAAGTGTTCATCAAGGCAGGCGGAGGGGTTAAAAAGGAACCTACAAAATTAAAGGAAATACTTCAAATAAAACTGTCCTCATTTCTACTGGAAGTAAGTTATCAGACAGGTACAGCATTCGTCCAGACCTGTGCTGTTCAATATGGTAGTCATTTGCCAGATGTGGCTACTCAAATTAATTAAATAAAATTTAATGGAGTTCTTCAGTGACTCTAACCACATTCTGAGTGCCCAACAGGCACACAGGCCCAGTGGACAGCACAAGGACCATATTTTGAATTATTTTCAGAAGAACCATAAAAGAGCAACTGCATGGTCCATTAGTCCCTGAGCTACCTGCTCCAGGATGCCCTATTTCCTAAAATCATTTCATTTTATCATTTACAACTCCATGAAGCAGGATCCAAAATTCAAGGTTTGGCAAATACAGGCATAACACAGACCTGCTAATACTAAGTGCTGTGACTTGATGAACTGATGAATTTTGATGCAGAAAATTCTTCGCAGGGAGGCCATGAGGGCCTTCAGAAACATAAATAAGTCAGGTTTCATTATCAAGTCTGGGTTTCTCCTACCCCTCAATATTATCACTGAGTTGGTCCCATAATAGAGTCATGATGCAAGTGCCTCGGTTTCCTTATCTGTGAAAAGGGAGTAATAAGAGTCCCCAGTCCTTTGGGTTCTAATGAGGATTAGATGGGATAATATGTGTAAAGCCCTTAGAGCAGTGCATGGCACACAGTAAGCGCTCAGTAAGTGAGCTACCATTATTACTGTAGATAATCAATAAGCACGTGATGACTGCCTTACCTATCCCGGTTGTAGCCCACTTCTGCGGTAGCATTGGGAGAGGGTATAAGAAGGTCAACGATACCAGTTTCAAGTTCCTGTAAAAGAAAGAACAGTTTTTTGAGAAATGACAATCAAATGCATCAAGAGAACAAACTAGTTACATTAAAGATCATACTGAAAAGAGATGATTTTGAGGAATTTATGATGTTATGTGACAACTGGCCATCTCTATAATTTTTGTGGCTTTAATTTAAAGTGAAATTACAAATGTCCCCCTTGTAGAAAACATCCTGTAGTATGCAGAACTAAGATAAGAAAGTCAATCCAGGGCAGGAGTTGGGGTATCTGTGAGCAGGGTATAGTGATATTCAAAAAGACCCAACAAATAATAGCCAAAAGTTATTTTAGTCACAGGATTTATTAGAAAAATCCTGCTACCGGCAAAGCGGGAAGTGTCAGAGTTGACCTGGAAAGCAAAGTTGCCACTTTAGGTATCAAATAAGAACTGGTCCAAACTCAGCATTTGTTTTTCTAATTCCGCTAGAGCCTGGCAGTTCTACTTCATTCTAAAAGCACCAGAATTCATCAGAGCACATGGATGGTCCTGGATATGTCTGTTACATAAATGTAAATATGTGTCATCATTGTTTCCTCTGCCACTATTAGAGCAGGACAGACAGCAAGTCACTGGTGGAGTCAGGCACTGACATTTACTCAGTAAGGTATCTTCACAAGTCATGTCACAAGCCCTTGCTATAATTCACCTCTAAATCATTAACAGCATGATTTTTATGTAAGGCTCACAAATGCATCCTTGCTACATTCATAAGAACATGTCAGACAGAGTAGTCACTGGAAATGGTAAAACAGCCACCACCTGAACAGATGACTCAGCAGGGGGACACCGCATGAATATACCTGGCACATCTCTGTGATAGTGTCATCAAACACTCCCCCAGCGTCATCAGCCCCTTCTCCAACCAGCTTCACCTTCCACGCTCGCGAGGGCAGACGGAGGTCTGATGCATTCAGTTTAACTACTTGTCTTGCTATTTGAACAAAGATGGGCTTACACTTCCGTCCTCTTCAAAAGAAAAGGAAAACAGAATGAAATACAACTCTCACTAACTTCCCCGAACCATCACTTGAAGGTATCTTCCCATCAGTGAGTGAACAAGCCAGCTTAACAACAGCCAGGCAGTGTGCTAGGCCCACTGTGACCACACTGGGTACTAAGGTAAACACTGTTACTCTCCTAGTTTGCAACCCAGGAAGCAAAAGCTCACAGAGATTAGTTAGGAATCACATTCATCTAAAAAAGTGCTTGCTAGGGGCGCCTGGGTGGCTCAGTCGTTAAGCGTCTGCCTTCGGCTCAGGTCATGATCCCAGGGCCCTGGGGTCGAGCCCCGCATCGGGCTCCCTGCTCTGCGGGAGGCCTGCTTCTCCCTCTCCCACTCCCCCTGCTTGTGTTCCCTCTCTCGCTGTGTCTCTCTGTGTCAAATAAATAAAATCTTAAAAAAAAAAAAAAAGTGCTTGCTAGCTAGTGGAACATACACACATATGCTAACCTGGTTGATATCCTCTTTACAGTAATTTGAGGTCCATAGTTTTTGCCTTGAACCATGGTTTTTCCTATGGAGCGCACCATCGGGAGGGTGTAGACTCTTGGAGCTAATAAAGGCCGAAGCTGCCCCTGTACGATGCCCCACGTGCCGGCATTATAATGGGATGTACTGCTCTGTAAGAGAGGGAGCTTATCAGAGATGGTACAATCCAAGGCTTCCTAGAAAAAACAGCTTCTCACTTTTAGAACATAATTCTTTTTGATTTAAAAGCATAAACCTGGATAGCAGTAACTATTAAAAAATATTTTTTTTCTGATAATACATACGATTGTTATTTTTTAAAACTTGGAAAATACAGAAAAGGACCCACACACATGCACACACTGAATCCTCCATAACCTCCATGATCACTCTCATCTGTTTCCCTCCATTCCCTTCCATGTGTGCAGACAAACATTTCTCACATTGTTGAGAACACACTGCTTACGCGATTTTCTGCTGCTTTTCTCGCTTAAGTTTTTATCATAAACATTTCTCCCGCTAATTGCAAACAGTTTTCTAACACTCTGTTCAGCGCTGCACAGTATTCTGCTGGCTGGCTGATTACCTATTTCTAACAATGATCTGTCAAATCTCTCATATACCCCATGACTGGTTACCCAAGGATTTCTAACAGTTTTACAAACTGATACACGTTTTGGCAGGCATGCTGACACATTACACAAACAACCAAACATAGCCAGCTTGCTTTCTTCCTAAATCACTAGACTGTTCTATAAAGACAGTCAAATCAGCTGAATTTACTTTCTCTCCCCGACAGGATCCAGAATGCTCATTTCTGAGGCGATCAGGACGTCTCTGCACGCGTCAGGCTCATCTATGGAGCCACTGGGACAGTGGTGCTAACGCTTGTGTGTGCTCGAGTTTTAAAATCACATGTTGGACTTTACAGAAAATGCACGCTTAGCCACTCATATTTCCTTGAGCTCTTGACAGGCCAAAACATAGAAGGAAGACTAATCTGTGTCCAGCAGCACGGTTGCCAGTACCTGGACTGTTCCTAAACCAGCGGTAAAATGGAAATGGAACTGTTGCCTCTTCTACACCTCTTGGGAGCTGAGAGTAAAAAGTTTTAGCCATGAAGAATATTCCTGGGACCTGGTGAGCACGTCACGGGTAGTGCTTCCCAAGCCGACGCGTTACCTGGTTGTTAGGGCTGAGGTTCAGGAGCCTCCAGGACGAGTACATGAGGTCAGAGAAGTGGTAAAGCAGCCGGAGCCGGGCCCTCGCCGTGTGGATGCTGACCTCCCTGAGCGCCCCATACTGCGGCGGCACGGCGTCGGGCAGGCCCAGCTGCAGAGGTACGGACACACCTGCCCAGAGACAGTTGTAAAGGAGACACTTGTAAAGGAGAATGCACCGCTTTCATTTTCAGTATTTTGAAAATTTTCAAACACACAGAGAAGCTAAGTATACAATGAACACCCACTCCTACCACCTAAGTTCTAGAATTAGTATTTGCCTTTATTTGCTTCATCACGTTTATCAATTCCTCTCTCCATCAATTCACCTTTATGTTTTGATGCATATGTGTTGTTTTTTTTTAAAGATTTTTATTTATTTATTTATTTATTTGACAGAGAGAGACACAGC